AACCAAACAATGTGGTCAAGAGTATTGTATTAGAGAAAGACCGTATTGCATTTGTAATCCTAAAACTGAATAGGTTCTCCACCTCTTCTAATTAGCTTGGGTAACCATGACATGCTGCTAGGCGTCAACCATGGTTTGTGGAAGCCCTAAAAGTGTATTATCACTAACGGGAGAATTGAAAGTAAGTTTCAATTCACAATCGATTAGAAAGAGTTTTAATCGCCCACTGCCTCGCTAAAAGGAACCTAATGGATCGTTCACTGAGTAAGGTAGAGTTTGAAGAAACAACGGAGATGAGTAAGAATAATTAAATGGTTTAATTATTTATCTAAGGCTAGGATTAATTAATATGTTAATTAATCAAACGAATAAGTTCGTTAAAGACCTCGGGTTAGTTTTGGGCCGCAAGGCCCAATGGGATTTGAATGTCAAGCCCATTAACTCAAGTTGTATGACAACTTGAATAAACAAAGGGCTTGAAAGCCCAATAAACCCTATAGGCTTGCCATGTTAGAAGAATAGGGCTTTTGGTCCATTAGGTCACTTATTTGAAAGGACTATATAAAGGACTTTATAGCCTAAAATTTACATATGGTAATTTTTGGGGAAAGGATGAGAACACAAGCTCTCCTTTCTCTCTAAAATTTAGGCCACCTTGGAGGGATCATCTAGCAATCAAACTCCTCCAAGGTCACTCATTTCTTCTTCATTATGCCTTGGTGATGAATAATTAGAGGTTCTCAATTTTGGGAACTTGGAGAAACCTGTTCATCCATCCAAATCCATGGATCTAAGATGCAAGGAATGAAGGCCCTCTCTTTGGGTGATTAGCCTTTGCTTATGCAAAGAGGAATCTACAAAGGTATTGATTTCTCAACTCACTTTGTTTTGAGTTGAGTCTTGGTTCACCTATCTACTAGGCTTTGAATTTCATGGGTAAATGTTTTGTTTTAAGTGCATACAAGCATGATTCCGCCTTTAATTGTTAATTGCATGCTATTAATGTTGCTTAAATGAACATGTTTATTACAAATCTTCCTTCAAACCCTAGGTTTCCCGTTTTGGTAACCTTTCCTAATTTGAAACGTCCGTATTTTCTAGCCACTTTGAAGGCCTTGTATGCACTTTAGGACACAAAACACAGGCCCTAGCCCACTTTAAAGCCCTTGCCGTGCCCTTTTGTCTTCTTTCCTTCCCTTGCCGTGCAAGGGGGGGGCATTTGTGTCCACTATCATTCATATTTTCATCTGCCATTCACCCAAATTCTCTCCTATAAGCCGTCACTCCCATTCTCTCCCATTCATCCATCAGCCGCACCTTTTCCCTTTCATTCCAGCCATCTTCCACACCCTTCCCACCATTGCCGCAGCCACCATAACCCTTCCAGCCACCTTCCACACCTCCACATACCATCCACACTTCTTGCCGCACCACCATACCACCCTAAACCCATCTATAACCCAGAAAACCATCCAAAAACACCATAAAACCTCTCTGCCGCAGCAAGGAGAAGAAGAATGAGGAGCTTAGACGCGCAAAAATTCAAGTGGATTCGTTGGGCGTTTTAGGTGTAATCAATCCTTTGTTCTCTATGTTTAAATTCAATTTTATTTCTCTTTCTGTGAACATGAGAGGCTAAATCCCTAATTAGCTAGGGGATGATTCGAAACCATGTTTATGCTTGCAATATGAATTGATTACCTTTGGTTGGAATTTCATGAGTTGTGGATTCAATTTGTTTAACTGTTTGATTGATAACTTATTTATGTATGTTTATTGAGAGTGCACGCTTAATTTTCATACATAAATATGACGCTAGAATATAAGTGAGTTTCACCTAATAGTTATGAACTTATATTCACAAGTAGTGGAGGTTGCTTATAAACAATCGCGTTAAATGAATTCTTGGTACTAGTTTCATGGTCATCATAGTAACGAATGCCTCGTCAACACTTATAGTTTTCATGATGCTTAATGATCTTTGATTGTATCTTTATTGTGCTTTTCACGTAAAGGACTTTTGGAGAATGTTTTGAATTGCGTATGCGCTAACCCATCCAATTCATTAACTTAAGGAGAACTTGACGGTTAATTTAAGCGGACCTAATTAACCCGGGGTGTTGAGTTTCATAATTTATCGAAAGACCAACTGAAAATCATCTTGTATGCAAGTGTAACATGTGTGGAGAAGAACCTTCTAGTTAGCATTTCATCCATATTTTCATCACATTCATACTTACAATCTGCCTTTAATTACAATCTGTGCATTTTATTTAATTTCGCCAAAAACTCAATCCCCCTTTACTTTAGTGTCCAATTTAGTTAGAAAGTGTCTTAGTTTGTGTTTCTAAGTGTTTTGATTCATTTATTTACCCAAATTCGTCCAAAGTAGTCAAAGTGCTCAAAACTGCCCAGATTGTGTTTTTAAGGCAGTTTTGAGTGTTTTGGGTGCTGTTTGAGTCTTTTGGTTTGTTTTAGTGTTTTTATTGTTTAGTTTTGCATTCTTTGAGTCTAGTTTAGTGTTTTAAACTTTATTTTACGTTTTTGAGTCAGTTTCCAAGTGATTTTGCAATCCCTCCTAATCCCCGGTTAAGAACGATCCCTACTTATACATATACTACAATTGTCACAAGAGGGTTTTAATTTGTGTGCTTATTTAGTTTGCATCAATAAACCTGCACCCCAGTGTCAGTGCTCCCGCCTGTGGCCAGGGCACAGTCCTTCACGTGATGTTCACCTCCCGCACCTTATGCTCACCTTGGATCCAAGGTAGGTGCACAGTCCTGTCGTACAGACCACTTTAGGTGGTTCCAACTCGTAGGTGACCCGCGATTATTCGCCCAGTCTTCACGTGATCGTAGCACTTGAGCGTATTTATTTACACCCAGTCCTGTCGTACAGACCACTTTAGGTGGTTCCAACTCGTGTGCAAGTGTACTTATTGAGCTATTGGCTAGCCAGGATTGACGAGATATGGATAAGTCGTACAGGTCACTATAGGTGACTCCGACTTATATGCTAGCCAGGATTGACGAGATATGGATAAGTCGTACAGGTCACTATAGGTGACTCCGACTTATATGCTAGCCATGATTGATGAGATACGGATAAGTTGTACATGTCATTTTAGATGACTCTGACTGATATATCACTTTGTATTGATTTAGTTCATTTGGCCTACTTATTAATGTATGGTAGATTTGATGGCAAACCGTGGTTTTGGTCATTTCCGAGTATGGTTTGGATATATGTATATATGTTGTACTGTCTTATGGAAAACAATACGGGTTTTACATTTAGTGGCATTACTTTTAGAGAGGTAGTAACTTCGGGAAGCTTGGTTTTATTGCTTACTGTGCCCTCCAGGTTTTAGCTGCTAAGTTTGTATCGACAAGAATCTGTGTTTTGATGGATATTTTTTGAGAGTATGATTCTTACCCACATTACTGTACCTTACTTATGCTCTGACATCGCGCGTGAAATGGGTTCGCTCCCACTCATAGCGCACTTTGGTATTTAGACACTTTTGGATTCAAATTCATTAACTTTTTATACACTATCACATTTTATGGCTTCGTCACCTTCCAGGTGTCGGCCAGCACAGCTCGATTCAGGGTCCAAGTGGACTTTCTGGGTTGGGGTGTGTCAGGCATGAACACGCAATATTTGACCTTAAATTCACATAAAAGATGTCTCAAATAAAGCCAATTCCTCCTTGAACTGAAATCAGTGACTAGTAAATTGAACTGAATGACTGATTATCTATGATTCAAATGAAATCTTTGTAAAAGCTGCTTTAGTTATAAATCTCAATAACCAAATATTATGTACAAATATTTAAGAAATGAGAAGGAAAAAAAAATTTAATAATTATAAGTAAAACAACAGGTGGAAATCACATACTTTTAGAGAATTAGAGTACCATGGTTTAACCAGAATATCACGAATGACTAATGTCTGTATAGAATCCCTTCAAATATGGAAGTTTGAAATCCACTTCTGAAGGGGATTCCCTATAGACATTTTCTCTCAAAGATATTGGGCGTTTGTAGGTTACAGGCCGCAACTAGCGAAGACACTGGAAAATAAAAAATGTTGGTTGAGATTCAAATAAAAATATATGATCATTGTTATTTGATATTGCAATGCCATTCCATGACAAGGTCCATTTAGTCCATGAGCTGCTTTTCAATAAAGAAACATTGCAAATTATATTACTTCATTGTACTATTTTATTTCATTGTACAATATATTTTTAACGCCTATCCACTTATGTTATGACAAGTAACAATTTATGTTTAGAGCATTGGAAAATCTCTCGATAATTTTAGAGAGTTAAATCCTCTAAAAATAACAACCGAATTCTCTCGATAATCTTTTTCCTTAAGATTTCTTAAGTTTTTTATGCTTCAACCAAATCATTTGTCCCTTCTCAAAACAAACCCACAAATTGGACCAAGTCATAGCACTTTCACTGCAACAGGCTAACAAATAGGACAAATTGCATAACCTCCAAACATATTTCCTTACCAGAAAATGGCTGCTTTGTACCGCTTTTTAAACTCGAGAGCAACTTTTATGAAATGAGGTGCATACCTCTTCTTCCTCTCTTTCTCTTCATGCGATCACACGAGAAGGAAGGAGAGAGCGAGATAGGAAGCAGGGGGGATATATACACCCCTGTATATAGGTATGTTCTTCCAATTCTCAAACATTCTCATTGAACATATTCCACTTTCATTCAGGTCACTCCACACTCAGATTATTCATACTAGTTTCTTTTTTATTCGAGGGAGAAGTGCTTTTTCTAGACTTCTGCAACTTCCCATTGAAGTGCTTTTTCTAAATAAAACATCAATATTATTTGCACATAACAGTCAGTATCAAACCTGGTCAGATCTCTAGCTACTCGTTTTGTCCATGATCCCCCAAAAAAGAAGAAATAATCACATTACTCAATGATGTTTGCTGACCAAATCTAAATGTATGTGAAACAGAACTGATTAAATGCATAGTGATCATATAGATTTAGATTTGCATGAGAACCGAATTCAATTATGTTTCATATAGCAAATTGTACATCAGTCTCTGTTTCTTCAAATACACTTATGACATATGCAGCACACTGACAGAATTTGTATGCACTCGAGGCACGAAGTGTTGGAGTCACAAACTTACCACCAACTGGGTGTTGGCCAGCAGCAATCACCCTGTTTGGCTCCGGAACTAACGAGTGCATCCCAAGGTTAAACCAAGATGCCATTTTTTTCAACAATAAGCTAAACAACACATCTCAAGATTTGAAGAACAGGCTTCCATGCCTCAAGCTTGTGGTCTTCAATATCTTCCAGCCTCTTCTGGATATAATTGCGAATCCTGGTGATAATGGTAAGGAAACTCGCTGTTGAATAGTTAACCGTTCAATAAAATAAAATCTATATTAGTTAAATAAAAGAATTCTTTTTTTTTTTTTTCGACAACCAATCAATAAAATAAAAACTATATTAGTTACAAAATTTCATTGTCAAGAAAAATTGAAGTATGTTAATCAATGTTTAATTTTTGACATTTTACTGAAGACAAAGTCCCCTCCCCTCCCACCTAAATTGTTGCTTAAGAACAAAGGTAGTTCTAGATAGCAAATGTATTAACAACGAAGGGAAAAATCTCAGCCTCCTCTTTGAAGTCTTGTAAAATATATTTCCTCTATCACAAATCCATTCCCTCTTTAACTTAACATACATATTCAGCATTCACAAAACAAGACTGCTACATGAATACAGTAAAAAATCTGTTTGATGCTAAGAGTAGTGAATTTCTAATACTTCTGTGATGTATTCATGCAACAGGGTTCGAGTAGAGAAGAGCTTGTTGTGGAACAGGTATATTAAAGACCTCTGTGCTTTGCAACTCTAGGTCCGTAGGAACATGTACCAATGTGACTGGTTATGTGTTTTGGGATGGATTCCATCCCTCTGAAGCGACCAACGAGGTCTTAGCTGGAGATCTACTTCAACAAGGTTTTGACCTCATATCTTGAATCTATTTCCAAAGCGGCATAATCTAATACTACTGCACTCTCTTTATCTTTTAGATATGTTATATGATAACTTTTAGCACTTAGTCCTTTGCTTTTCATGTAAGAGTGACGGATGATGTCCTCTGTGAAATTTCAGGTGTTTTGATCTTTAGTGCTAATAAGGTGATGCCCGGATCTGTAAATGGGCTCTAAGTTAGTGAAAGTAAATCCCATGCATGAACCTGAAGCTACGTAACTGATGCTTTCTCAGTGATTTGCCAAATCATTTTTATACATGAAAAGGAAAAATGAAAACTTTTAAGGCAATCAGTGCGTGAAGTTACCATCTTATTAGATAATTTAAAGTATTTTTCTTCCCTTTCTAATATCTTCTATCTTCTGTCCGGAATGACTAATGTGTACAAGAATATGAGGTTATGGGTTATTCTTTTCCATTGTTCAGTATGACCTATCAGTAATAGTTTTACGGCTTTAAAAATCCGTACAATCAATGACAATCAAAATTCACCTAATTTTAGTATGTAACTGGTGAGCAATACTGTTAGTACAAGATAGGATTAAGGGTTCAGTAAGGCAAGACAAAAAAGTATTACCTGAAGGGGAATCTCAAGAAAGTTCAAATCCTGCATTGGAACTGATTGCATATAGAAGTTTGTCTCTCAAAGTGCTTGGACGTTTGTAAGTTGGAAGCTGCAGGCATCACATTGAATGAAAAAACAAGCGTTATTTGTAGCAAAAAGAAATGAGCATAATTGGCCTGCAGATATAAGTGGTAGTCTGGTTACATTTCTGAACTGTGTCTTTTGCGATGTTTATTGATAAATATACGGGGATAGGGGGTATTTCTCCCTTTATTGTACCTTCAGAGTATTGTAGCAAGTCGAGGCTGATGGAAGCCTCTCAACATCCTGTCCTCTCATTGTCGCCCAAAGAGGGATATCACATGCAACCTATATAAGAACAAACTTTTGAGTTAGTTTGATAAATTGATTGTATATACTTCATACATAGATGTAGATGATAAATTAAGATACCTTATGAATTGTAAAAGTAGGCTGCAGGTGTTTGAATCCAAGTAACGGAGCTCGAGAACAACTGGTTACGAATTTCAGAAGCATACAACGTTCTTTAGGTTCAAATCCTTCCATTACCTGTGATAATGGTATGAAGAAACTCAATAAAACATAAAAGGATCGTAAGCATCCCAAGGAAAAAATAGGCATGTATAAGATAAGATACAATACAAATACCACAATAAAATATGACAAACGAATAGTAGGACTGCTCATCATTAAAAATCAGATAATGATGAAAGTTAGATTGCTTCTCTTCTGATAGTCAGACATGAATCATTGCACTCAAATGTTGGGAAGAGAGAGAGCATAATATGTTTATATGAGCATATGGGCTCTTGAATGTGTAACAGATAACAGGCCACAAATATGGAACTCCATAGTGATTCAGTGAGGAACCAAAAAAGGGAATGTGTACTTTACAAGAATCATTTTGGAGAAACCACTAGTGTACTTTCTAAAATAGGAAAACCTAATTCTACAAACTTATATAAGTTCATTCAACCTCTAAAGATGAGTCAATACCTCCCAAAAGATTTTAATAGTCCGGCTCCCCTCAGAGTAACCACCAGTATACTTTGTGTTCTTCCTTAAATCATCAACGTCAATGTCATGGTTTCCACCCGAAAGCAACTGCATATAGTAATTATAGATCAGTCTTTGACACCAACCGGACTCGTGCGCATGAAAGCTCAGCAACCTTAAAAGGAAATGTAATTTTGAGGACCGAATACAGGACCGTAATGAACAATTACTGTCACTATGAACAAATTTAGATGGTGAAAAGATTAAAGTAGAAAACTTTGGCCCACCCAGAATATCTGAGGATAAAATAGCTCCATACAAGGATCCTGTAGTTAAAGCGACTCTTATATTTTAATTCCCCTGGTCCCTATTGTTAGATTTCAACATTTTTCTTCTTACCAACTAGCTCTTGGTTATTGGTTTCTCTTCCCAATGTTGGAAGAGGTCATAAGTTCTAATCCCCTTTTTCCCGATTGATCAACAAATAAAACTTTTTTCCCCTGCAATTTCGGTGCAAGTAAGGAACAATTCTGCTAATATTGATATTCTTTCCAAATTGTCACCTTATCAGTCGGCTACCTAAACCAAAGACAGAACAAAGTAAGACTGAGAAAGAATGATAGTGCTTATTTATGTTTTTACTTTTCTATTTTGGAATGAAAGAAAAAAGGGACTACTACTTGATCTTACAAGTTTAAGATGATCAATATATTAAGCATAAGACTAATTGGCACATTAGGTTACAAGAGATGCATATCTTATATGAATTCATCCATAAAAAATGCACCCAGCCGTCATACATTAACATTCACTAGAATTACAAGCAGACCCATCCATTCAGGGACTTACCTGATTAAATTCACCTGCATTAAATAGTTTTAGCCAGGATGGTGATATGACATCAGCTAACCCTCTATTGAACGCATTTGAGAAAGGAAAAATCTGCAATTCAACATTAAAATGAGGTAATTTTTCTCACCAATAATGTAATAATAATTCTTTCAAAAATCTTCAAAAGATATATTTTCATTAGTTGAACCAGAATGAAATAAAAACCTGTCGGTTAAGCTTATAATCGGCAATTCCATGAATGTACTGCATTCTGTTCTTGTTTGTCACAGTAACATCCTTTCCACCAGGCTTAAGCTCAATGATATGCCGTTTCCCAAATGATTCTTCAGTTACCGTAAAATCAAGACAGAGTTCCTCCACATCTCCATCGTAGTGCTGCAATAACCACACAACTAAAGATCAAAATCTTTCAAGAAATAAAATACGTGGCGAAGCATTTCAATAAACGTAAGACAAACTTAATTCAGAATGGGGGCTTCCAGATACCAGATACCCATTGCTTTATCTCAAAGAGTTCGGACAAAGCAACCAAAAACATCTTATTTCAAATAGTTTGGGTTGCAATGCAACCACATGGACCCTCTGAAGTAAACAATTAGTAGTCCTGGCATCATGTAGCCTTTTTCTGTTGGATAATTTTCATATATCCCCTTAAAGGGCAAGGCACATTAGTTCCTTACTTTCGCATCCAAGTTTTATCTCTTAAATCGTCTATGATAAATCCTGAAGAATCTTACTATTTTATCTTAAAACGTATTACATGAATTCAATTTAGTTAAATTATCACCAAAATATTGACCGATGGTTGAGAAAGTAAATGAGAAAGGAAACAAAGACAAACAACAAATACAAAGTTTACCTTCACATACATGAGATTCTTGTAAAGCTCTGGATCCAGTGTTGACAGTTCATCAAGAAAGCTATACCGACCTAACAGCTTTTGTACAAAAACATGTGAAAAGGAGTAGTCTAGCAAAATTCCTTCATAAAGAGCTTTGCCAACAACTCTTCCAAGGAATTCAATCATCTGGATACCATTCTCTAGGAACCTTGCAGACACGTTAGGGATTAGAAGTCCGTCTGATGTTGAGGTTTGGGAGAATAGCCCATAACTGCAATTTGGAAAGATGAGGTTAGAAAACTGACTTAAAAATGTGCTGCTAACCATGTAAGAAAGCCAAATTTGTAATTGATTTTTATCTTTACAAACTCTGAAACTTACTCGGGAGAAAAGGCTGCTTTTGATATATCAGTCAAAAACTCTTTGGATAATCCACCATAGTCCAGGCCAGCCTCTGGAAGGCCACATTCACTGACAAATGAAACATGGATTGATGATTTTAACCTTGAACCCAGGGAATTTAATTGCCGAAATCCATCTTCAACAATATGACCACGGCGAACTACTATTTCAACTGATCGTGAACCAGGTCCAGCAACTTCACCAGCCATTTTTCTAGAGGCTTTGTCCATCTTGATAAACTCTCTAAACATCTCAACTCTGCCAGGATAATAAATATAGAATAATTTAGAGCAGAGGTCTTTTAAGATTTTCAAAACCAAAGTTAAAATAATGTCAAAGGTAAAACTAAAAAAATGTAAGTAGTGAGAAACGTAATTCGATATCCTCATACTTAGTGAAGAATTATATGAATAATGAAGAATCAGCATTGAACAAGCCCTACCAACCCACCCACCCACCTACCAGTGCTCACTCAACCTCACAAGCCAGAGTAGCCACATATGCATATCGCATTGGACAACTTCTGCACTCTCACTTGCAAACATATAGAAACCAAACCTTCAGGTCAACACACCTGTTCAACCCCAAGGCATATGACACAAGGTCAACAACTACCAGTGGAAAAAGCCAATAACAGGTCCTTTAAAGGCCACAAAATGGGGTTTCAACAACCAAGAAAAACAAGATTTCTCCAAAGTTATGAAAGTACACAAAGGCAGCCAAACAATACAGAAGAAACAACTTTGAACTATGCAATCCTTGATTTTTCGGTTTGTCAACTATTTCCGTACCTTTCTTCAAATGGAAATACATGTGGAGTTGTAGTTATAACAGAGCCTATACTTGGGACAACCGGAGCATCATCTGACCCTACATTTGCTGAGAAAAATTCACGAGTTCTGGCAGCTACAGCACTTGGAGGGCGGTTCTTTCTAGCAGGTGCAAGCCACAAAATAGGAGGGCAAAACTGGTGCCTGCAATCCCTTTCATACATTAAATGCAAGCATCTGATTGCAGATTCCATAAGTGACTTACCCTGCTGTCCAATAGTTTGAGAAAATCCATTATAAACTAATGTATTGATAACAGATGCAATTTTCTGTTGTTGCTCCAGTGTGAATGGCACCTATTAAAATGCTCATATGATCAGAACTGAAAATTCCAAAAAAATCAACAGAAAATAGAAAATAAGAAGTAAAAAAACCTAAAACTGTTTTACCTGTTTCTCGTAAAACTCTATGTCATCAAGAATCAAAAGCAGGTGTGAATAGCTTGCACAGAAAAGATGAAGCATACATGACATGTCTCTTGAGATACCTTGAGGGCCATGCCTCACAGGTTCTATATCCCAAACGTCAGATGAATCCTCATGAACAGATCTAGGCTTAGGTTGACCATCACTCAAATTCGTACAATCAACGCCTGCTTGTGACTTGCCAGTAATTTTATGAAGAACAGTGACCCACTTATTAAATCCATCATTGTTGGTGTGTTTTTGTTTTCTCTCAAAACCCTTAACTTTTTCTACACCACCAGAATTTTTACTGATACAATCATAACGATCAGGACCAGTGTGACAATCCCCAGGGTAAAGGTAAGTTTCCAAGGCTCTCCATAGATTCTCAAGAAACCCAGGAGTAAATGATAGCATGTTAAGGATAGGCAACGACCCAACTGCAGGGCTCAAGCATGAAAATATTCTGATCATGTAAGAATATAAATGCACAACATCTAGCAGTTCCAACTTCCCTAAACGTTCCCATTTTTTTGGTGTCAGAATCTCAGACCCTTGAATATCACCAACTTTGTTCATTGTTGCCAAAAGATCTGTAAGATGCCACTGCTGGGAAATAGGCCTAAACATATCCAAGTACATCTCAAAGGACCCCGTCTCACCCTCACATAAAACTGTATTGGACTTCTCATGTGTTCCAGCATCACTTTGGAGATCCTGGTTATCCTTGACACAGTCAACATTCTCAAGCCTAGACAATAAGTTTTCTGCAAGAGTGTTAACAGCAGAGACATATGATACAAAATCCAAATCATGACTGAACCCTCCAGGATCAATGGAATCATTCTCTGTCCCTGCTGCGAGGCACATAATGTTTGCAAGAGCCCAACCAACTGGGGGAATCACCTTGGGAAGAAAATGAACCTTTGACTGATCCACATCTAACATCTCTTTTAATATTTTCTCTTTCAAAATCTGCCATCACCTGAAAAAGCTTGATCAGTCCCACATGTCTGAATTACAGGACATATAAGTTATATTTGAAAGTAAAAAAAAAGAACTTGGGTTTAAACCACTTATATACTGACAAATACGATGATGAAATTTTTGAAAAAAATCACATAACATAGACAGACAGATAGATGGGTGCATGCAATTTATGTAGAATGAACAAAACACGGCACGAATAAATTACATGATTAATAGTTCTGCTCATTAATTACCCAAGTCGACAACTTCAAAATAAAATAAATGAAAAAAATGCCTCCAATGGAGAAATGTTCTGAGTCATTGCTACTTGTAACTCCAAGGTACCATACACAATATGTTTACTGTTTACATTTACCTCTTATAAGTGTCAACAAAGTATTGAGCCATTAATAAAATTAATTCCCAATCCAAAATAATTGGTTGTATTATTTTCAGAAGAAGAAAAATGCTCTCTCCAAAATCTTAATAAGATCAGGGAGGAAACTATACCAATGGTCCCCCAACTTTAATCCAATTGGAGTAATGGTCCTCAACTAAAAGTCTGTGACCATTGGTCCCTTAACTCATAAAAACGTGCAACTATGGTCCTTTCGTCAACTTTGTTGGATCGTCAAAACGAGCCACGTGCCACGCACGTGAGGCTGAATCAAGGGGCAAATATGGAAAACCAAATGTGAAAAATTGTAGCAATGGTCCCTCAACTTTAACCCAATTGGAGAAATGGTCAATGGTCCCTCAACTCTATCCCAATTGTAGCAATGGTCTTTCCAAAATAACTCATTTTGACGGAATTCTAACGGAGTTGACGAAAAGGACCATAGCTGCACGTTTTGATGAGTTAAGGGACCAATGGTCATGGATTTTTAGTTAAGGGACCATTGCTCCAATTGGATTAAAGTAGAGGGACCTTTTCTACAATTTGTCAATGTATTGATTGCAATAGATTCCTTTTACATGGCAAAAAGATAGAGATAGATAAGCTTTCAATTTGAAATATCAGGTTATGGTTGGAATTATGCAGCAGTTGCTCATAAGTTATACATAGATCGTATAAGATTCAACACGAAGAATACTGATAAATCTACTTAAGCATATATTCTAATGAGTGTACATTAAAGGGAGTACCTCACTGAAAAGAATTTACACTTATTAGGTTCAAATTTAATAAGCCTTACCAGTAATGTCTGGAAACAAGGTGAGAGAATGGACTTGTGCCTCATAGCAGATATAAGCACAGCTGGAAGGCGTTGAGTAAGACAAGGAATTGTAAGTAGAAACACGCAGTACTTCTCAGCAACATAATGGACATCCAATATGCCAGGGCCATCTGAATCAAACTTTGCTAGATGAAATGGCCTGAGAGCTAAAGTTATTGTACTTGCAGTAATCAGAAAACTATCATCTCTTTGTATATTACTGCTTATCCGTGAAGATCCCGGAGGATCCAACGTGCTAATGTATCTTCTAATGGCTAAGTAGAGACCACTTTCACCACCACCCATAAATCGAACTAAATCCTTCACTGCTGCATCTGCACTCAGCCAGTCAAGCTCAGCAACGCTCTTCCATCCTTTGAGATCAGTTAAGACAACAACAAAACGCATTGCTAGGGAGGTGAGAGCAACAAAATCTTGACCCCGTGCATGGGACGTGTCACACTCAGAAAGAACAAACATGCAGAGAGAAATCAGCTTCCTTGACTGATAACTCCAGACTCTTCTTTCTTCAAGAGTGCCAATTGCCAGGGAACAATAGTTCTTCTTTGAATCTAGACACGGAAAATGAAATCAACCCAACAGTTAAAACACACCAAGAAAACTTTTCAATTGTCAAAAAGAAGCATACCAGTAGAATTCACACTTTCCAGTAGAATCTGAAAGCAAGTCTTCATAGAGCACATTTCGGCGGTTTGAATGCTCCTATGCCGATTAGATAAACAAGTAACAAATAAAAGAAAAGGCCTCACTACATTGCTGGAAATCCATGTTGCAGAGAAGGCTAACTTAGTATACCGGTCCACTACTTTCTCCCACTCTTCTCGAAACTCCAACGCAGCAATCTTCGCCGCCCTGTAGCGCCTCCACACTCTCTGAATACACAAAATTAAACATAAACAACAAACAGCCTTTTATATCCCTCACTACAGAATCTAAACTCTCCTCCTTTTTATCATTTTATTTTTTTTTGCATTTTGCTTCTTGCTCGCATAAAATTCGCTTACTTTAGGGCAAAAATCAACACCCAAAGACAGAAATTTCAATTTTTATTCATCAAAAAACAGAAAAGAAACTGAAAAAAAAAATGAACAAAAACAAAAGCACACCTGAATGAAGAGAGCAGCAGCCGTGGCCCGTCGGGCGTACTGACGGAGCTCTCGTTCCTGAGAGACCTTCTCGAGCAGCGCATCTCTGGTAATCTCCTTGGCGCTCGCTCCTCTCAACGAAACCTGAGCAATCCGGTCGCCATTTTCGAATCAAAATTTCAAATTTCTGAGAAATGTAATCGCAATTTTCGATTGACTGGAAAAACAGAAATTGAATTTGGGGTTGAATAATTAATTTGTAATACCTGATGTTTGCCTGGCTTGTCCATGGACGTCGTCGGAGCTCGGCGACGCTTCAATCGAGAGTTTTTTCTTCGATCTCTTTGGCTTATCGTTAAGGACGACTACCTTTCGCGACCGTTTTTAACCTGGGGCTTTCCCCTTTGTTTTGTTACTTTACTTTTTATCGCGTCGTGCACTTTCGTTTTTATCCTAGACGCGCCAAAGCGCGCGTAAATCCCAACATTTATTTATTTTTTTAGAAACTGGGAAATTCATTACCTGGGCAAAGAAGTCAAACATAACATGGAGAGCTACAACGAGGCAAGCAGACAGCAAAGCTAAAGAAAAACAACGGATAGTAGAGGGAGTTACAAGGAAGACGCCATAGCCAAGTTATCGCGTCGCCCCCTCCACTGCCCCTATTACATTACGGAGGACAGGGTAAATTATCATTTTGAAGCACAAAAACTAACCAAGATGGGGGTCTGTTGACCCAGGAAACATCGCGCATCTTCGCACACCGCTACGATGCCAACGAGTCCGCCGCCATGTTGGTTGATCTTGAAATCCAATACCAACGATGGTCCAGGAAAGACCCCCCTAACCATTTAGCTTTCACTAAGGAAGGGTAGGCCTCCCATCTACCATTCTCAAGCAAATCTAAAAGAGAACAAATGGATTCAGAGGAATCAGATTCAACAATAACCTTGTGAAGCCCTATTGCCACACCAAACTCACAACCTTTAAGGATGGTCACGGCTTCAGCTGCACCCACACACAGAGAGCCCGAATGGCATGCATGATCATTGCCACGAAAGGGCCCCCAACATCCCGCAAAACAATCACCACAAAATCGGATCTCGTCGACGCCGACCAACGGGCATCAACATTAATTTTTGTATATGGCGTGGCAAGAAAAACCACTGGGACAATTGATCAGCCACCATCACAAGTGCAGGTGGCTCCGGATTCCTTCAGATGGCATCAAAGAATGCTCCAACCGAGTTAGTGATTGCACGTAGGATCTGTGTGGGATTGATTTGTCTTTGATTATACAAAGGTTGCACCTAGCTTTCCATATATGCCAGTACGTGAAGGCTACATATGATAGTAAAGACATTCGGTCACCATTAGTACCAACATGCAGGTTTGAGAATAAGAATAACCACTCCATCCAATTCGAGACATCATTCCTGTCAATCTTAAGATTAAGAATCCCTCCAAACCAGATGGTCTCCACCCATGGGCATAATAATAGTAAATGTTCGATTGACTCATCCTGGTTGTGGCATATCGGGCATGTCAGGTTGGGGGCGAAACGCCGTTTGTACAATTCTTCCATCGTGGCCAAAGCTCTGTGGAGGGTTTTCCACATGAAATTACGGATCTTTGCTGGGGTTTGAAGCTTCCATATGAACTTCTAAACCCGACTCGGGGTAACACGGGATGAAGAAGGATGTTGCATCACCGGGGACCAAGTTCGAGATTGAACCCATTGGTACCCAATCGTTACGAAGTACCCTCCATTCTTGGTAGCCGGCCAAATGAATTTGTCTCCACTCATTGAATCACCAATCTGCATATCACTTATGGAATTAAGATCCTCTATGGATAAGAAGGGTTGAAGGGAGTTGAGTTCCCAAGTTCTAGTAGTTGGACAAATAAGAGTTGCCACCCAGGTATCCTTGGTGATCGGCACCTCTCCACCTGGAATAGGATAGCCCGAGAGGAGGGATGAGAGCTACTTGTCAACCCAAATCCACACATTATGCCCGTCCATGATTTGCCAATGTGCCCCCTTCAACAATATATCTATTCCCACTAATAAATTGGTCCAAGCCCATGATGCCCAGCTTCCCCACTGAGCATCTAGAAAAGAACAATATGGGAAGTACCGGGCCTTGAGAACCGAAGCCCATAACGAATTCGGCTCCGTGATTAACCTCCAACATTGCTTGGCAAGAAGAGCATCATTGAAGGTTTTAAAGTTCCTAAAACCCATACCCCCTTCATGCTTTGGAAGGCCTAACACATTTTTTGATACCCAATGAATTTTCCGCTCACCATTTCTCTACCCCCACCAGAACCCAGCAATCATGGAAACTTAAATAAATTCATCGGGTACGCTGGAATAGCTTGAAATTAGTAACACGCGATTATTTATTTGACATGAATAAGACGTCTAATCGTGACAATGAATACGATACTTTCAAAAAACACTAAAATGATTACTATATAATGGAATAGAATCCCATATAGATCCTATTTGTGAGGATCTAAAGGATCAACAATTATGTCAGTTCATCGTACATTGTGCGGTTAGAAATTATTTTAAAATTTTTATTTAAAATTAAATATAAACAGTACCTAACGAAAATTGACCCCACAATGAAAGATGAACGGTTGCGATTGATTAATCCTCCGGATCCCCACAAAGAGAATCCAAAGAGGATCCTTGTCCCCATATAATCAAGTGATCATAGGATTTTGGATTTTGATGCTTTTTTGTAAAGTTACTTCTTAGAGAAAACCTAAAAGATAAACGATTCATATTGTATAAATTTTGCAACTTCTCACTGGCACACAAGGACTAGACTAGTCCTAGACCTACCACTTGAAAAAACAAGATTAGTATTACACCTATTTCTATTACTTTGCAACCCTTCTCAACACATCAAAGCAAATGCAATCATTGTCTATCTTTTCATCCAAATCTCATCCCAAAATTAAGTATAATACTTCAAATGGTCATTTATCATAAATCAATAACATTTAAATTAAAACCCTTCATTCCCTTTTAATTAAAAAAAAAAAGAAAAAGAAAATCATCCTTCACTCATGCATTGGCATAGCTATTACTCCTATTCTTCTTGTATTTCATATATTTAGCCAATCCAAATCCCATATTTATTGAATAAAGAGTAATAAGGTTTGTAAAACTCTAGTATTCTCTATATAATATTTGTTTCTATTTTATCCTACCTTTCCTTGAGTTTTAGGGTTTGCAAAATTTTTAGTAATTCTCTATGTTGAGTTTAATAATTCTTTTAATAGTATAGATGACATCATGCAATGGTTTCGACATATGAAATTCGTCGAGAATAATTATGATTACTATAAATAGATAAAATTATCTATACATATTTTGACCACTTAATTATTTGGATATATTATGATGTTTTGCATTAGTAATTTTATAAGCACTATTTGTTTTTTCTTCTTCTATACTTGTGTGAGGCCCATCCTCACAAGGAATCCGGGTTCGGCCACTGCAACTTTTCTATATTTACTAACACACGAAGAAGTAAAGGTTATGTGAGTCTTACCTTAAAATTAGTAATCAACCTCTTCATTTGTTCAAAATTCTAAGATTCGAACCTCGTTAGCGACAAATTTGATATCAATTATTTGGATTAAAAAAAAAAAAAAAAACCTCAAAACCAAAAATAATAGATAAACTACAATTATGAGATTTAGTTGATGTCCATATCACACACACACACACAAAAAAAAAAAAAAAAAAAAAAAAAAAAAAAAAAAAAAAAAGACTAGTTGATCTAATTTGCATTATTTATATTTTTTTACCTCATTGAATTTCTTCTTTTCTTACTTCCCACGTTATTGACACATAGACATGCAAAGAGTGAAAAATGAATGGAACTATGCAAAGATTACCAAAGAATGAAGCAAAACTCATGTAAAATTACCTTCGCCTCAAACTCTTTGTTCCCATATTAATTTATTAGCTTTCCTTTGAATTTAATTTACAAATGACATGTAAGCCATATGTTAAATTCCTCACTTTGTATCAAATTAACTGACGTCTACAAATATTAGAAGGGAAAATGTGGTGAGCAAATTGAAAAAAATTCAAAACTCTGTTGGGAATTACAATGATAAAGCAAAAACAATATCTTTGAGTTTAAACAATTAAAACCCTTGATCAAGGACCAAAGCCTCACAAGCCTACTATGGGGGGCTTTGGCCAATGGATCTCCGATACCTAATTTAGTATCTCTGAAAATAGTGAGTGTTTAGGGCTTGTATGTGTAGCAAAAAGCTTACTAAAATATGGTGGAGATGAGGTATTTATAGAGAAGGTGGCCGGCCATAATGTTAAGGTTTTGCCCCACACATGGCGGCATCCTATTGGTCAAGGTATGTCATCGTTGGATGAATGAGGAAATAATATTCCCAAGATATTAATTAGGAGGAAAGATAATTAGGAGGAAAGACCTTGGGATAATGGTGGAAGTTTCCCTAAGTGATTGTGATAGGGATTCCTTACTTGATTGAGTTGATCTTCAATTGGGAATATATTAAAGATATAATTTAGTACTGAACCCTATCTTTATCATGCAACGATCAGGGGAGCTTTGAGCATTAGTAGTCTGCTTCTTGAACTTCCAAAGCTCTGAATGCATCGTGGGAATATTTGTGTGCCCTACCCGTTCAATGAGGGCAATCTTGTCTTTCTTGAGGAAAAATTCACATGTCGCCCCTAGGATTTTTGGGATTGTTTTTGGCTCCATAAATGCCCCCAACCCTGATGGGCTACATTCAAAAAATGGCAGTAGGTGTAAAAGTTCCAAGCTACATAGGTAAGCAGAGAACTGTTTCCCAATTTGATGTTGATCTTCCAATTTGTCTTGGAAGTAAAGTCTTCTAGGAAAGGGAAAACAATTGCCACCAAAGCTTATTTAGGCAGGGGCTAAATAAATTTGAAGAAATTTTTTTATCCTAACAAGAAAGAGAAAAAGCCAGAGGAAATTTATTCCCCCTCCCTTAGCCTTCTTCTTTGCTTGCCCTTGCAAAGTGTTGATTATCGTCATCATTGTTTTTCTTCTCTATGCTGCATCAAGGTAAGAAATTTTTTTTTTCCTTCTTCTTTTTGTTGGGTTATGCTACCGCAAAACAGCAGTCGAGGTGGTGCAACGTGTCGACTGGTAGAAACCAAGAGCTCGGCTTGGCTCGAGCCGAGGGGAATGGCACATTGAGGTGCAAAGCTGGGCGAGCCTGTGAGGATTAACCCCTTGGGCTTGGCGCGAGTTGCTGTTGTTGGTAAGTTAGCCTGTTTATTAAACCTTCAATTGAGAAAAAGTCAAGGGCTTTCTTTGATGCTAGTGGAAATTTTGTTGCTTCCAAAAAGGTTGTTATCGAGCTATTTCTAGTATCTGGGTTCA